AATCTAGCCCTGTCTGTACATTATTTGGACAGCTGCAACAGCTGATCCAAAGCAGAACTGCCTGTTTTTTCCCACAACACGTAAGAGCTCACATTGGCTTGCCCGGACCGATAAGCGAAGGCAACGCCATAGTGGACATGGACTCGCCAAGAATGGGCCTTTCTAGGCTCTTCTTTAGATCGTGCAAGCGAGTTCCACAAATCATTCCATGTAAATTCAAAGACACTGCAGCAAAAATTCTCCCTCTCTCATGCTGACGCTCGACAAATCGTGCTCAAGTGTTCCCAATGTATTACCCATCAAACTCCCCCGAGTTTTGGGGTAAATCCTCGGGGTCTTCTTCCTTTAAAAGTTTGGCAAATGGATATGACACACATTTCGGAATTTGGGGCTCTCCGATATGTCCATGTCTCAGTAGACACCTGCTCCAGAATTCTCCATGCCTCGGCCATGCCTGGCGAAAAGGCTCACCAGGTAATCGCCCATTGCTTGGAAGCTTGGGCGGCTTGGGGAAAGCCACTCCAGCTTAAAACAGATAATGGCCCTGCGTACACGGGTCAAAAGGTTGCCTCCTTCTGTCGCCAGATGGAGATTCACCTCAATCATGGGTTACCATATAACCCCCAAGGACAATGCATTGTAGAACGTGCTCATCGCACTCTAAAGGACTGTTTACGAACACAAAAGGGGGGAATAGGCCACGGCCGTACCCCAAAGGAAAGACTTTCTTTAGCCCCCTTCACCATTAATTTTCTAAATTTGGACGCCCAAGGGCGTTCTGCAGCTGACAGGCATTATGAGCCCGGTGGCGCCTGCAGAGGATGGTAAAATGGAAAGACATCTTGACAGGCCTCTGGCGTGGGCCTGATCCCGTGCTGACTTGGGCACAAGGATCTGTTTGTGTCTTCCCGCAGGACCAACAAGATCCAGTGTGGGTGCCTGAACGCCTGACTAGAAAGGCGCAGCCTCCACAGGACAGTAACCATGAAGGCAAGGCTGTTG